CTCTGACATCACACTAACAAGTCCTCCACTAAACCATATCACTAAGCTCTATATCTAAACATCTTTTAAAGACCTCCAGGGATGGTGACTCCACCACTTCCCTGGGCAGCCCATTCCAATGCCTAACAATGCTTTCAGTAATGAAGTTCTTCCTAATATCCAACCTAAACCTCCCCTGGCGCAACTTAAGACCATTCCCCGTTGCCCTGTCACCAGGCACGTGGGAGAATAGACCAACCCCCACCTCACTACCTGTAGGTACCTCGCTTAGGCACAGGTACATAAGGTAGCTGTAGAGTGCGATAAGGTCGCCCCTGAGCCTCCTCTTCTCCAGGCTGAACAATCCCAGCTCCCTCAGCCGCTCCTCATAAGACTTGTTCTCCAGACCCCTCACCAGCTTCGTTGATGAATAAGGGAAACAACGCCTGGTGAGAATATGAAACCACAGACTGCCCAGAGCTATTTGGTCAGCTTTCTAGTCTAACACCTTCACTACCAAAGGTAAAATAAGTCTCCAAATCCCATATATTATTTGGTTGTAATTGGAAATCGAATGTAACTAAACGTAAACACAGCATGGTCAACAACTGACCATGCCTATGGACAGGCACATCTTGCTTTCCAGGAGAACAACAGAGCAACAGCTTTGTCACCCCTCATCCATCCCTGTAAAAATCGGAGTTATTGTAAATGTTGGGAGATGTCACTCCCAGGGTGTTATGACTTTTAAACACAATGTGAATACACTCCTAGACAAAGCAGAAATTTCTATTCATAAAGCAGCAGAACTTTCCATGACAACTGGCAGGACAATTTTGTTTTACTGTTTGTTTGTTTTGATATTTTTTATTTTTTTTTTTTTGGAAAGAGGGCAAGAGAGAATTTGTTCAATTGACGTTGCATTAGCGAACTTCTAATTCTATCTATCCTGCTGTGATGGTGCCAGTATTTCACGCAATGATATTTTTCTGTCTTGGGTGATTCTAGGTCTTCCATGGTTGGGAAAAGAGTTGAATCTATATATATGCATTTAAAATTTATATATATATATATATATATATATATATATATATATATATATATATAGTGTTGGAAACAATATTTTGGATTAAATCTTTAATTCATATAGAAACACTATTTTATGTATAGGTATCAGAAATTAACGTTGACTGGATCATCTCAAAAGCTAAAGCAAACTGGATTTTTTCAGGGTCTGGTCTGGAAAACTAATGAAAGCATCTTAGAATTGTAGTGGCAAAAAGAATAATTTTGTGCTTCAAAACATATATATCTTCAAGTTAATTTAATACTCAAAGGATTTAAGAAAGAGGAAGGAGGAACTTTCACTTCAGAGCTTCCTTTACATAGAATTTCTTCATAAGTGGAGATGAACCTTGCTATCTAGGTGTGGGAAGCAGCACATAAAGCATTACCTACCTCCATTTACACACAAATTAGCTATTATGGCATAGCCTTAGAATACTATACTGGGTTTAAAGCTGAATTTAGACTGTCATTGTAACAGATGAAGTCTAAAATCCTCTTTCCTGCTCTATTTTTGAGCTTGATTTTCCTCAGGCATCACCTTATAGGGCTACTTTCCTGCTCTCCACCGAGTGGTCTGCCCCTGAGTTTGCCAGCAGTGCTCTGCTGTGTGACCCCACTTCTCCTGCATGTTCCAAGCATGGACAGGGAGGCCCAGTACAGCAATTATTTTAGCCCTTTATCATTGTAAGTATGCTCTGAAATCCTTTCTTCAAGTTCATTCCTTAATACAGTATCATATACATTTATCTTTTAGTTTAAAATACAAAGCTACACTATCTGTGGCCTTGAACTGTGAAGATGACATTTCAGAATAAAACCCCAATTTAGGCATTGATTTCTAGAGGACACTTTGACCTTCATGTAGGAAGAAAACTGCAATTGAGGAATGAGGAAAAGAAAACTCAATTAATTTATTTTATTCACACTGGCATGGAGAGACTGGTCAGCTCCCATAGATTACTTAGCAGTGCTAAATGCTTGCATAAACTTGCTTTTCTTGCTGATTATATGTGACAAGAATAGTCTTGGGGAGTTATTACATAAGGAGAACTATTTAAAGTTTATACATTCTAGTGTAATTCTGACATTTCTAAATTAAAAACAGCCTGTTTCTTGTTCCTATGTTGTTGGAGTAGCTCAAAGCATCTTCTGTACAGAAAATACATTCTCACATCAGTGCTTTGCATAACAAAAAGACTTTATTAACTACAGTACACTATATCCAAACAATGCCTATTAATAATTTCTGTGTGCACCATGCACTGCACACTGCAGAATCTCCTGGTGAAGTCTCATCTCACTACCCTAACACTTGCAAGCCCTGTTCTTGTAGTCATACACATTTAATGAGAAAAAATGATTGAAGAAAGACAGCTTGTGCTGAATGCGTAAATCAAATCTACAGCTGTGCACTGCCAACCCTGTGGGGTAGGAGCCCTTTTCAAAACAAGTTCAAGTTGTTATGGTCTGTCCAACTGTACCTCTGTATTTTAAGCACCAACACTTGTGATGACAGAACATTCTAAGTTTTATGGTTTATGAAATACATGTATGAAATGTTAAAATCCATTTACTTGGCAGTATTTGGCCTCTAAGAGAGCTTCTGAAGAATCACAGAATCACAGAATTTCTAGGTTGGAAGAGACCTCAAGATCATCGAGTCCAACCTCTAACCTAACACTAACAGTCCTCACTAAACCATATCCCTAAGCTCTACATCTAAACGTCTTTTGAAGACTTCCAGGGATGGTGACTCCACCACCTCCCTGGGCAGCCTGTTCCAGTGCCTAACAACCCTTTCAGAAAAGAAGTTCTTCCTAACATCTAACCTAAAACTCCTCTGGTGCAACTTAAGCGCATTCCCAGGCACGTGGGAGAACAGGCCAACCCCCACCTCGCTACAGCCTCCTTTGAGGTATCTGTAGAGAGCAATAAGGTCGCCCCTGAGCCTCCTCTTCTCCAGGCTGAACAAGCCCAGCTCCCTCAGCCGCTCCTCGTAGGACTTGTTCTCCAGGCCCCTCAACAGCTTCGTCGCCCTTCTCTGGACCTGCTCAAGCACCTCGATGTCCTTCTTGTAGCGAGGGGCCCAAAACTGAACACAGTACTCGAGGTGCGGCCTCACCAGAGCCGAGTACAGGGGGACGATCACCTCCCTAGCCCTGCTGGTCACAGTGTTTCTGATACAAGCCAGGATGCCGTTGGCCTTCTTGGCCACCTGAGCACACTGCTGGCTCATATTCAGCCGACTATCAACCATCACTCCCAGGTCCTTCTCTGCCAGGCAGTTTTCCAACCACTCATCTCCCAGCCTGTAGTTCTGCTTGGGGTTATTGCGCCCCAGGTGCAGGACCCGGCACTTGGCCTTGTTGAACTTCATGCAGTTGACCTCAGCCCATCGGTGCAGCCTATCCAGATCCTCCTGCAGAGCTTTCCTACCCTCGAGCAGATCGACACACGCACCTAACTTGGTGTCATCTGCAAACTTACTGAGGGTGCACTCAATGCCCTCGTCCAGATCATTGATGAAGATATTAAAGAGGACCGGCCCCAGCACCGAGCCCTGGGGGACGCCACTAGTGACCGGCCTCCAACTGGACTTGAGTCTATTTACCACGACTCTTTGGGCCCAGCTATCCAGCCAGTTTCTAACCCAACGAAGCGTGCGCCAGTCCAAGCCAAGAGCAGCCAGTTTCTTGAGGAGAATGCTGTGGGAGACGGTGTCAAAAGCCTTGCTGAAGTCAAGGTAGACCACATCCACAGCCTTTCCCTCGTCCACCCAGCGCGTCACTTTGTCATAGAAGGAGATCAGGTTCGTCAAGCAGGACCTGCCTTCCATAAACCCATGCTGACTGGGCCTGATCACCTGCTTGCCCTTCAATGCTGTGCCTGAAGATGCCATTTTCATAGAAAACAACAACTGTTCCAGGACATTATACAGCAAACAACTCCTATTCTAAGTATGCACATACAGCTCGGAAAATTAAAAACATCCCATAAACTCCTATATGAAATTGGCACTGAGTTTCCTTCTTGTGGCAATTCCAACCTCCTTTTCTGCAAAGTGCTGCATCTGCACTATTCAGTCAAAAGAAATATAATAAATACTGCTTCATAACTTTCCTATGATATATTATAAAGAGTTATAAAAATATGCAAGATTCCCTTTACTTCCTCTCACAAAACATATAAAGAAATTTATTTCTGTGGCATGTATTATGCAACGTTTTGGATACGAGTAATGAGGAGTACTACTTCCAATGGGGATATATAAAAGTCCCAAGATAATAAATAAATGACAGAGAATCCCGATTTAAACCTTGTCAGTTCCCATATGACAAACTGTTTTGAGGAAACTCCCATACCAACTTGGATTAGTGCAGATGAAGTTTTACAGTTATTCTCGTAAAGGCAACAAAAATTAAATCCTCACAAGCAGAAGTGACATATTTCAGTTCAGGTTGTAAAAGCTGCCTAACTAATCTAATGCTTCTACAATTTCCAGGGACACCTCCTTTACTGCTTTTTTCCTTTCTTTCAAAATGTTACCAGCTTCCTGCAAGTGATAGTCCCAGAGAAACTGTCAAGGCCTTCATAGCATTTTGGAAATTGAATTCATAGTTAAGGTACACAATGGAGCAATTTTATTAACTAAGTTTCATACCCCCCAACACTAATTTCTATTGCCTTCTACTCCAGGCCCAGAGCAGTGTCTATTCTCCACAGCACGTAACATCATTTCCATGTGCACAGTAAGCATTGTGGCAAGTCTTGAGTGAGCATTGCACATTCTCTTGGAACATCTGAAAATCATTGCTTAAAAAGAGTGTGACAGGATCAAGAAAACAAACAAAAAAACATTATTCTCCTTCAAGAAACATATAATGCCACTAGAATGGAAAATTATCAAGGTTCTGTAGGAAAAATAAACAAATAAATAAGACAATAATCCTTACTTGTGCAAGGTGTGAGATGGCCGGTCGTTTTTCTCCAGTTGACCATAGCAGCTAGTTTTTGCTTCAGGAATGAAGGAGTATTTTTCCAGCATGGCTGATGCAGCAGTGGCAATAATCCCAAGGCCGTCCCGCACCCGAGCTTCTAAGCTATAGTCCCACTCATCATAAGATGCTGAAATGAGTCCTGAAGGAAACTCCTTGGGGGTGATTTCTGTGTTACCACTAACCAGGCTGGGAACTATCCAAAAGAAATCATAGCCAGTAAGGCCCAGGGAGCGAGCCTCATCCAGTATGTAGATAGCTTCATCTTTGGAGCAATACAGCAGGATGACAGATGAATGAATTTTCTTCAGCTGAATTTGCGTCTTGGCATCTCCAAAGGCAGTATCAAGTATGATGATGTTCTGCATGTCCCAGCCCACAAAACTATTTTCCACTGTGGTCTTAATGACATTGATGAAGTCTCGATATCCAGGGAAAGTCGTGGTCACCAGAGAAAACACATGCCAGTCATAATCCTGCATGATCTTCAGCATGACAATGGCCTCCTGCTGGATAGAAGCCCCAAACTGGAAGAACGTTGACATCACATCCTAGAATACCAAATACAGTGGAAGATTACTACTTTGGGACAAGTCTAAAAAGAAGATAATCTCTACTTCTTTTTTGGGTCCATTGTGGCTACCAAACTTTTGCTGTATTCAAAGACTTTTCTGTGCCTTATTGTATTCATATCATTAATAACCAATGCTGATCATAAGTGAGTACCACAGCAAATTAAAATATTTGCCAAAGAGCATGAACATATATTTACATAGGAAACTGACCCAATAAATTAATATCAATTTTCAGACACAATGTAAATAAATTGCAATGTGCATGCTGTACAGATATGAAGGACCTCTGTTACTGCCAAACCTAATGTCTGAGTGATACTTCACTTCCCATAAGTCCGTATTGGTGGACACTGTCAAACTCCACAGAACTATTTATCGTTCCCACGTGCCAAGCTCACTACTGCTCACAAACTCACTACTGCTCATGCTTCATTCAGATCACATGGCCCATTGATGCCTATTGTAGAATTAACAGGATGGCACTCCAGGGACAACCAGCAAGCTGCTGGTGTACTCATTAAAGGGCTGAAATGGGAGAAAATTCAAACAATGATCTCTTAGTCTGTAACTGGAAGCTGCATTGCCTTCCTGAGGGATACAGCTGTGCAATCAATTTGCTGCACAACTTGTTTCTAATATTTGTCTTGGGCTTTTACAGTATTCACAGCATTCTACATGGCATAAGGGAAGGTACCTCTTATTTTAACAACCTGTTAAAGTCAAAAATAGGGACACATATATTTTGTGGGCACTAAATTTACAAAGTTTTCAATTGGTCTATTTTTGCCATATTGCAATAAGTTCTAAATTTATTTCTGAATTTTGCATTCTGGATTTATATACATTGCAATTATTAGAGTATCAATGTATACACCTTCTTTATTTTCAATTTACTTCAGTATTTTTTCCAGACCATGCATCATACATGAAATTATTCTATGCATCATACAGAAATTATGCTGAAAGAAAAGTTTATCATTTAAAAAAGGAACCAATCATACAAGATTTCTTAGGTAATGTCCTGGTTTCAGTTAGGAGAGAGTTGGTTTTCTTCCTAGTAGCTGGTGGAATGCTGTGTTTTGTCTTGGGATGAGAGGAGTGCTGATAACATGCTGACATTTTAATTGTTGCAGAGCAGTGCTTACACCAAGCCAAGGACTTTTCAGCTTCTCACTCTGTCCTGCCAGAGGGCAAGCTGGGGGTGCAGCAAGAGTTGGGAGGGGACAGACCCAGAGCAGCTGACCTGAACTAGCCAAAGGGGTATTCCATCCCATCTGGCATCATGCTAAAAAATATAGAGGGGTGGTTAGCTGGAGGAAGAAGGGCCAGACTGCTCGGGGTTAGGCTGGACATTGTTCAGCGGGTGGTGAGCAACTGCACTGTGTTTTGTACACATTGTTATTAGTAGTACTTGTTTTGTACACATTGTTATTAGTAGTACTATTTTCATCATTATTGTTATTACTATTTTCTCTGTCTTAATAAACTGTCTTTATCTCAACTCACAGGCTTCACTTCCCTGTTTCTCTCCCCCATCCCAGAGAAGGAGGGGAGAGGGTGAGCGAACAGCTGTGTGGTGTTCAGCTGCTGGCTGGGTTAAACCACAACAGGTAACCTTTAAAGGAGAGAGATTTTAACTCTATTACTAACACACAGTGTGTTTAATTTCAGTTTTATGAATGCGGTTGTGAACTGCTATCCTTTTGCAGGTGAGGAGAATAGAAGCAGATTAATTGACTTAGGTTTCACAGGAAGGTGGTGTTAAACATACAATTATTAGTGGGAACAATAACTCAGCTCTCCAAGTTCTGGCTTTTATCTACTGAAATCTATTCACAGGAAACTGAGTGCCTGTATATTTTATTTTATTTTAATAGAAGATGAGGAGTGTTATTACTTTCAGAACATTAAGAACCTGACACCAGGATTTTATATAGCTTAACAGCAATACCAGTCTTAAAACTGGTGTCAGACCATGAAGACTGATGTCGAAGGTATAAAATACACATCACTGGTGGTAATGAAACCATCTGCTGTGGCACATTTGTCACATCAAAGGCAGCATTCTGAATGCCAGTACCAGATTTCACAGAATCATAGAATAGCCTGAGTTGGAAGGGACCCATGAGGATCAATGAGTCCAGCTCCCAGCTCCACAAAGGACAACCTACATGGTAGATAAACCAAACAGCTGAGAACATTGTTCAAATGTTCCTTGAGCTCAGGCAGGCTCGGAGCCATGACCACATCCCTGGGGTGTCTGCCAGTGCCTCACCACCCTCTCGGTGAAGAACCTTTTCCTGATATCCATCCTGAACCACCCCTGTAGCAGCTCCATGCTGTTCCCTCGGGTCCTGTTGCTGTCCCCAGGCAAAAGAGATCAGCACCTGCTCCTCCGCACCCCTCTAACCATTTTTGTAGCTCTTCTTCAGACAGACCCTAATAGTTTTATGTCCTCCTTATATTGTTGCATCCAAAGCCCCATACAGTACTCGAGGTGAGGTGGCACCAGTGCTGAGTACATTGGGACAATCACTTCTTTCCAACATTAAGCTCTTCGGTGCTTGATAGACCTCAGGATATGGCTGGCCCTTTTGGCCCCAGGGCACACTGTTGACTCATACTGAGCTTGCCAACCAGAATTCCCAGATCCCTCCCTGCAGAATGGCACACCAGACACTTGTTCCCTAGCCTGTATGTACATCCAAGGACAACAAAAGTGCAGATACAAATATCACAAGCCAAATTCTCCTCTGAAGAAATTCCACGTAGCTCCACTAACTTCATGTGATGCTTTTATAGCAGCTGAAGATCTGACTCTATGTGTTTACAATGATTTTGAAACAGATGGTAGACTGCAAGTAAATTCTAGCTTTAGGAACCTTAGCAGATATTTAAACACCTATGAAGAGAATATTCAAAGGCACATTACCTACTATGCTTAGACAAAAAATAAAATAAAATAAAATATAAAATAAAATAAAATAAAATAAAATAAAATAAAATAAAATAAAATAAAATTTAGTGAAGAAAACAGCAAATAATTAAAACTATAAGGGATTCTAGAGTTGTATCCTTAAACACCTACAGAAATTTCATATGGGATTTTTTAAAGCTTCACATTCCTCCCAAAGAGTACAATTATTACTTTGCTTTATACAGACTTAGTATTTTATTACACATGCAAAATCTAATTGGTACTTTTCTATATTCAAAAAACAAACTGAAATGATGTTTGTAAAAAAAAAAAAATCAGCTATTTTCATTTAACTGTTATCTTATCACCCATTAAAGTCATTTCTAAAGGAGGAATATAGATGTAATATCAAAGGTGCTTTCGATGTACATCAAATGAATGTACTTTTTCTTTTCTCTTGGCCCCATATTTTGAAATTATTGGTGGAGGATACAAGAAAGCTATACCAGTTACCCAATAAAAGAAACTTTTATACAAATGAATTCTGTAGATAAATCTCAAAATATGAAAACCCCTAGATGTTACACTGATATGAGCAAAAATTTAGTTAGTAGTAGTTATGGAAATTATTAAGAAATGCTTTATTCAAACTGACTTGATTTTTCTAGCTTCTTAGCTGGATTCTAGCGCAGCCATGTAAACAAAGAAACAGCAATGATCAGAGAAAGAAATGAATAAATGAAAATTTTATTTTCTTCTATCTTGCACATGAACACAGTTTATAGCTATACTGAGCAGTCAGGCATTGGAATGGGTTGCCAAAGGGAGTGGTGGAGTCACTGTCCCTGGGGTTGTTCAAGGAAAGGTTGGACGTGGTGCTCAGGGACATGGTTTAGTGGGTGACGGTGGTAGTAGGAGGATGGTTGGACCAGATGATCTTGGAGGGCTTTTCCATGGTTAATGATTCTATGATTCTGTGATCTCCCAGTATGTTTCACACCAAAAATAAGGAATCCTTCAACTGTTTTGTTGTTGCTATTGTTTTAACAGTATTCTTGAATTTTGTATACAATGTAAAATTGTCATTACAGACCATAATTTCAACATTCCCATGTTCATGCACAGAACAGACAGCAGCTCTCTTTAGAGCTGTCATTTGACAGATTAGTATACTAGACTAAGTTGCTTTTTAATTAGTGTACTGAGCCTATAACTCAGTCACTATCATCAGAATTGCACATTTCACTTCCCTAATTCCAAGAAATTACATGAGTATTTCTCTCAAAACCACATCCTCAGCTATATTCATGACATCTTAGTTTCCAGCTCCAGCTTTTTCATGAGATCAGCAGGGCAGATTCACTGCTGCTGTAACAGCAGAGGTTAGCCCTGACCATGGTTTATGGCTACTGGGGGAAAAGCTGCAATAGATGGTTGGTTAGAGAAAGGAACGCTTATATAAAATACTATACTACTTTTATTAAATGAAAACGAAATGCTAAACCTGAACAAAATTGAGATATAAAAAGAGATATAGAGAAATAATTGTTCTATTTTATGCCACTGTAATGCAGATATTCTGTTTTTATAACAGTTTTAAGGCATGTGGTGCTAGGTCTACATATACAGTGCAAGCTGTTTCCTGTGTAATGAATTATAGTAGATATTCGGCATTCTTATAAAGACTGAAAATTTTGAAAAACAGAGATTAGTCATGAATTTAAGCTGAATAATTTCACATCACATCAAAAATACCCGGAAGGAAATTATTTTTATGAATCTCAAATGTAGGTGAATAATATATCTTGCAGTGCATTACCTTGGTACCATTTATACCAAACTACTTGAAATGATGCAATGATTCCCAGGTAAAAGTGAGGTGAATTGTGTTTAGATGTGATTAATATCCAGGTTTCAGACATACAGTCTCTTCCCTCCGTAGAGACCCATAGAAAAATTTCTGCAAATGCAGACACCAAAATAGAGGAGCTGAAAGGAAAACCTTTCCTCTCAAGACACCCTGCACACTTTTAAAGTCTCAAGTTATTACATTCCTGTC